CGGATTTCCTTTTCCTTCTCATGAGAAGTATCCAGCAGGGCCACAACAATGAGAGCCTTTCTTCAGTTTTGTTCCAATTCCAGCCTTTCTTGGAATGGATGGTGCAATGGCCATTATGTCACTTCATCCTTGGATTATCTATCTTGTCCTTCCATGGGACTGCCCTTGAGGGCCACTTAGAAACAGGAATGACCTGTTATTGTCATTGTACAGCGGTATTTCAAGAGCTGCATTGGTTACTGGTTTGCTTCCCAATACCATTGAGGTTGCTGATCATAACTATAAAGCCCTAAATGGCTGGGAGTCCAGTTAAATGGAAGTCTGCTTCCTCTTGGTAGACTCTGCCTGCCCAAAAGGTTTGGGCAAAGAATGTATGCTAAAAGTCCTCAGTCCCATGAGGGAAGAAAGCCTTCTTTGTTGGAGTTTCCCTGTGGTGGAATAAAATATCCCTAGAAAATAAGAGTAGCCCAGGGATATTGGCAATGAGTGGTCAAAAAAGTCAAGATGATGACGGCAGCGGTGTGATCAAGCAATAGCAGTAGACTTATATACCGCTTCATAGGGCTTTCAGCCCTCTCTAAGTGGTTTACAGAGAGTCAGCATATTACCCCCAACAATCTGGGTCCTCATCAAGGTTCTGCCTGTTCTTTATGTGCCTTGCATAAGTTATGCATATTAAAAATAGGTGGTATTTCAGCTATACCTTTGCAGCCCCCACTTTTTTTTGAAAACATCCCATGGATACTTGTGGGATACAGATAGTCCTTGTCGTCACCCGACAAATGCGCGCCCGACAACAGCGCACTGACAAAACCGCGGCAATAAAACCATGATGTCGACAGCGTGCCCACAAAGGTGCACCGACAAAAGAGCGCCAACAGAAGCGCGATTACAGTTAAGGTTAGGGTTAGGTTCAGGGTTAGGTTTAACGTTAGGTTTAGGGTTAGGCTTTAAAGTTTTAACGAGTTGACAGCGTTGACAGCGTTTTGAATTTAAACGTGTGCGCAATGGCGTTGGCGCACAGATGTCAGCGCGCTACTGTCGCATAATGATTAGCGCTTAAGACGGCACGGTTCTGTCGGCGCGGAAAAGGCTTTCGCGCATTTGTCGGTGAACCAGTCCTTGTTTAATGGATATAATTAGGACTAGCAATTCCATCAATAACCAAAGTAGCTGCTAAGTGAACTGACTATGGCAACTTACAATGGGCAGTTCTAGCAGTCCCAGTTGCAGTCATTAAAAAAAACCACCCCTATTTGTTAAACAAGGTATCGTATGACTGCAATGTGTGACCTCCTACTGGCTTCCCCATTGACTTTGCTTGTCAGAAGCCAGCTGGAAAGGTCACAAATGGCAATCACATGATCACAGGATGCTGCAAACGTGATTGCCAAGGGTCTGAATCACAGTCATGATCATGGAGATGCTACGATGAGCACAATTGTGAAGACTGGTTGTAAGTCACATTTTTCTGGACTGTTGTAACTTCAAACCATCACTAAACAAATGGTTGTTAATTGAGGATTACCTGTAGTCCAAAACATAACATTTTGATTTTTCTGAAGCAAGTAAATCAAGTAAAAAAATTAAGTTAAAAAAAAGGTTTCAGGGAGCATTGTGGAATAAGTTATGAGTGAAGACTGCTGGCAATAGCCTTGTTTATTGATTATATACTTTGCAATTTATAGATACATTTTTAATTTTGTTCATATTCCTATACGATTCTATATTGGTGAAACCTGTATACTGTGTAGATTTCATTGATTTAAATGATATTGAAGTTGTAGGTTCAAGAATGAATTACTGTAATGGGAAAGATAGAGATTTGACTATTAAAAGGACTTTAACAAAGCTAAGCTGTATCCCATAAATCCAAATGTCAGAGGTTTATTGGAACTGCAGACAAACATCACAGCTATTTTATAGCTAAAAGCTATAAAAAATACTTTGAAAAATGTTTGCGCATTCTGTTAGAGTTGCCTAAATGTGCTATTTTGATCTTTGTAGAGAGATATAACTATTTCAGCTGAAGAATTGAGAGCAGCAAAAGAAAAAATGAACAATAAACTCCAAGAGGTAAGAGCAGGAGAAAATCAGAGAGTAGTACATTTTAAAAAGTGCAGGGCTATAGGCCCAAGGCAATGGATGAGTTGAAGATTCTTAGAATATTCTCCAAGTGATCGTGTATTGTTTGGGAAGAGGTTTTCAATCGAAAGGCCAGCATTATTTTTGCAGAAATAAGATAAAACCATGTCAGACTAAGAACATATGAAATCATGTCCATCAAGTGTTGTGGCCCGGCAGGAGCCGTTGGAGCTGCCGCCAGACTCCGACAGCGAGGGGTCTTATGAGTTGGCCCTGGAGGAGGTGGAGGACCCTGGACAGGGTGCCGACTCCGAGCAGGACGAGGAGAGACTGGTTGGCCACCAGGTGGTGGCGGAGCC